ATCTCCCTGGCCTGGGCTCGGGATTTTTCTGGCGTTTTGGGTTTTTTTTTTGTTTTTTCCCTCTATTATGTTATTTTTTCCCGCCCGCCAATCGATTGAATACGCTTTTTAATCGCGATTTTCTTCCCCAATTCGCCCTTTATGGCCGTGTCGGAGCTGGTGGTAAAAGCGGGGCTGAAAAAAGGGAATTCCCGCAGGGCTGCGGACCCCGACCCTGCCCGCAGCTCCTCGCGTGCCAAAATACTCAATTCGCCAAAATATTCCATTTTTCGGAGCGTATTGATGAGTTTAGGGATGCGCGCCGGGGTTAAAAATCTGAATTTTCCGCCTGGCAAAGCAGGTGTGGGCTCATCCCCACCTCTCTGCCCGGCCTTTATCCGCCTCGGGGTTTTTTTATTTATTCAAAGTTCTGCCCTCAATAAACCCCTCAGACCTGCGGTGGGAGAAATCCCACCCGAATTCCCAAAAAAGTAAAGAAAAAAAAAAAGGAAAACCAGAAAAAGAAGTGCTAAGGAGGGGAGAGGAGACTGGAAAAGGAGAATTAAAAATTTTAAAAATTAAATTTTTCATCTTTGGTGAAAGGGGAAAGATCGCAGCGGGGAAAACACCTCGGGGCGGGCGAAAAAGGAGAGTTAAAAAATGTTAAAAATGAAATTTTCATGTTTGGAGAAAGGGGAAAGATCGGAGCAGGCAAAACACCTCGGGGCGGGTGAAAAAGGAGAACTTAAAATTTAAAATTTTAAATTTTCATCTTTGGAGAAAGGGGAAAGATCGGAGCGGGGAAAACATCTCGGGGTGGCTGGAAAAGGATAATTAATTTTTTTAAATTAAATCTTCATATTTAGAGAAAGGGGAAAGATCGGAGCTGGGAAAACACCTCGGGGCGGGTGGAAAAGGAGAGTTAAAAAATGTTAAAAATGAAATTTTCATCTTTGGAGAAAGGGGAAGGATTGGAGCTGGGAAAACACCTCGTGGGGGGGTGTGGAAAAGGAGAATTAAAATTAAAATTTTCTGTTTTGGAGCAAGGGGAAAGATCGGAGCGGGGAAAACACCTCGGGGCGGGTGGAAAAGGAGAATTAAAAACGTTAAAAATTAAATGTTCATCTTTGGAGCGAGGGGAAGGATCGGAGCTGGGAAAACACCTCGGGGCGGGTGGAAAAGGAGACAAAACACCCAAATAAATGAAAATTTCGGGGTGAAGCGCGGGTCAGCGCGGCGGACACGCCTCGCTGTTTAACAAAGACTGCCAAAGTATGAGATTAATACCAAAACTTGCGTTCGCTTCCCAGCCCAAAATGCTCAGAAGGGCCTCGTGGCGCTGCCAGCGGCAGCTCCGGGGACAAAGCTGGGGCGAGCGGGGGAGGGGAGCGGCCACCGGGAATAACAACAAACCCCCCCAAAAAACCCCAAAAAATTCAAAATTAGGAGAGGAGGAAGAAGAAAAAAAAAAAAACAGAGAGAGAGGGAAACGAGGGGGTTGAAGGAGAATTAATCCATTAATTCATTAATTCACGGCGCTGGGCAGCGCCGCGGCAGCGATGGGCAGGGCTGGGGGCATTTTTTGGGGGGGTTTGGAGGATTTGGCCCCTCAAACCTCGCTGGGTTTTGGGGAGAGCCTCGAACCCCCCCCAGGGATTCGGTGCGAGGAGAAGGAGCCGCGATTTGCCAAGGTAGGAACCGCCGCGGGCCGCACCTGGGCGGGCTGGGGGTCCCACCCCCCTTTTTTGGGGTCCCACCCCCCTTTTTTGGGGTCCCACCCCCCTTTTTTGGGGTCACCCCAAAGGCTGGGGGAGGGCTGCGCTGGCAGGTGCCGCCGGATTTGGGGAAGGGTTTGGGATTCCCTTCCTAAAAAAAGGGGCAGGCCGGGGAGGGGGGGGAGTCTGCTTGAGCTTTGAAATGGGGGAGAAAAAACCCCAAAAAATGAAAAAAAAAAAAAAAATTCTGTGAGAAATTTCCGCGGGATCCCAAAGGGTGAAAATTTGGGATCCGAGGGGAGATTTCTGTAAATTCTGGCAGACGCTAGGGGTGCTGGTTGGCAAACCCCGGCCTGTGGTGTCACCGCGGAGTGGAAAAAAAAACCGATTTTTTTTTTTTTTTAAGGGATGTGGCAGGGGGTTAAAAATAGAGAATAAGGCCTGGTTGTTCCTAAGGCTGGGGCGGGAGAAAATGGAATAAAATAAATCACTGAGGAGGGGTCGGGGAGGAGGAATAAACTCTAAAAGAGATAAAGAGGGGATTAAAAATGAATTAAAATGAAAAGGAGCCGTAATGGGGTCGGTTCTGATATTTTACGGCAGCCGCGCCCGCGCTGTAGGTTTGGCTCCGCTCTTTTCGGGCAGGTTTTAGAGGAAAAGGTGAATTTTGAGGTGTTGCTGCTGCGGGAGGTGGGAGATTCCGCTCGGTGCAAAAAGATTTCACTGCTTCTGCTGGAAATTTGGGGTTTTTAAAAGGATTTTGGGCTTTTCTTCGATGCCCTTGGTTTGTTTATTAAAGCGCCGCTCGGTTATTCTGGGTTTAGCGGGGAGTTTTTAAGCAGGAAAAGCGATTTATTCACCTCAAAGCGCCTGAGGAATCCAGAATGGGGAGATTTCGGGGATTTTATTATTGGCCAGAAGTTTCAATTTTTTGGTTTTTAGGAAAAATGCGGGAGTTCTTGGAATCTGCAGAATATATCGAGAGCAATTTTAAACGCAGCTTTTCCCTGATGCCCTCTCGTCTGCGGCATTTAAATGCAATTAATTCGGGAGATACTTGACCTGGAAATGTTCTGCCTTTTGAAATACCAAAAAAAAAAAAAAAAAAAAAAAAAAAAAAAAAAAAAGAGAAAGAGGGAAAAAAAGGGAGAAAAAAAGGAAAGAAAGGGGGGCTGCTCTACTTTTAATCTCTTGGGTAACTGTAATTTTAAACGAAATCTCAACACGATGCTACCCTCATTAGTTCCGAATGAAGGTTCATTACCTAGACAGTATGAATATTTTATTGCTTTATATCCCTTTTTTCGGAAATGAAACGCCTTTGATCTTTTTCTCGGGTTGTAAAAAGAATTGCCTGTCATTAAAAAAAAACCTGTCGTCCCATCTGCCTTTACATTCTGTATTTCTTTTCATCTGTTTCTTTCGCTTTTTTTCTTTTTTTTCTTTTTTTTCTTTTTTTTTTTTCCGTAATCATTTCCCCGCACACGCACGGCTAAACGCAAACCTTGGGTGACCTCCAAGAAGGAAAAATGGGTGAAATCTTTGCGCTGCCCACCACAAAATCACGGCGGGACTTTCGGGGCGGGGTGGCGACGGAGCTTGGGGGGGGAAATTTCTCTTTTAAAATAAGATTTTAAACGGATTTTTGCGTTCGCGCCTCTGCACCTCCACCTTCACCCCAGGAACTGATTTTTACACCCCCAAAAAACCTTTCTCTTTCCCCAAGGTGTGGAGAGAAAGGTGGGAAAATCCCGATTTTCCTCTCCTGTGAGCTCTGCAGCCTCGCTGCTTTCACGAACGCCTTTCCCCCTCCCCGGGGGGAATTTCCCGAGCCTGAGGCTGCTCAAAAAAACCCCAAAACTTTGCCCCAGAAGAGAATTGTGGCGGTAGGAGAAGATCTGAGACCGAGGAGGACGCAACTGTCTTCTATATGTACCCTGTAGATCCGAATTTGTGTAAAGGAAGTTGGGTCACAAATTCGTATCTAGGGGAATATGTAGTTGACACAAACACTACAAACCCAGGAGCCATTAATCCCCCCTTCCCCCCCAAAAAAACCCTAAAAAATCAAAAACTAGAAGGGTGGAAAGGTTTAACCAGAAAATCGCTTTAGGGCTCCTTTGGATTTGACCTCAGCTCAACTCCGGCGCTGCTGCGATCAAACTTTATCACGGCTCCGAGATAAAAGCGGGGCTGCAAGAGGGAATTTGGGGATTTGGGGATTTGGGGAGGGGGCGAGGGGGTCCCGGGCGTTGTTGCAGAGATTTCAGAGCGGGGCTCGCCCGCCTTTGCTTTAATTTGTGTGGTCTGGGCGCTGACAAGGATTAAAACAGAAATAAAAATCCTCGGTGCCGCCGTTTGCTCCCTGCAGCTCCCGGCGCGTTTGGGGTCTGCCCGGAGGATTTGGGGGATTCCTTGGGGGGTTTCAAAGCTCGCCGTGGCTTTCACAGCGCCTTTATGACGAGGAGGGCGAGGTGAAAGCGCATGAGGCGGGGGCTAATTGGCTTTTGTAATTGTTCATCAAGCGCCGGGCCCCGGCCCGGAGCACGGGCCGCTCCTGCCGTCCCCCAGCGGGCGGGATTTGGGATTTGGGATTTGGGATTTGGGATTTGGGACGGCCGGCACCCCGAATTAGCCGCTGCATTCCGTATCGATCCCCGATCCATCTCTGCCAGGCTCCCGCACCACCTCCGGCCGCAGCCCCGCTCGGGGGTGGCGACCCCGGCCCGGGGGTGGCGACCGCGGCTCAGCTGCGCTTGTGGGGAGGGTCGGGGGGAGGCAGCGCCCGCGATCCCCCCGCGAACCCCCTGAAAAAACCCAATTTTACCTCGCCTGCTAATTATTCTCGGTTTGTCGGTTTTCCGAGGGTGGGGTGGGGTGGGGGGTCGCTGTCCCCACCGCCCTCCCCGCGGGGTCCCCGAGGCAAAGACACACCCACGAGGGGTGTGGGCAGCGCGGGGGTGTCGCTGCGAGCCCACGAGGGGTGTGGGCAGCCCGGGGGTGTCGCTGCGAGCCCACGAGGGGTGTGGGCAGCCCGGGGGTGTCGCTGCGAGCCCGGGGCCGCCGGAGGGGCCGGAGTGGCCGGGGGTGGCCGGGGGTGGCCGGGGGTGGCCGGAGGTGGCCGGAGGTGGCCGGAGGGGCCGGAGGGGAGCGGACGGCCCCCGGCCGCCTCCCCGGGGATGCCGGGGGGCCCCGGGAGAGCCCCGGGCTGGGCAGGTTTCCTTATCCGGGGCTCGGCGTGGCCCTCGCCATTGGCCCGCGCTGTCACATGGACTCAACTTTGTTCACTTGACAGTAAGTAGGAGGGTTCCGCCAAACAGGAAAACGAGGAACGGCAGGCGGGGGGGTCGGGGGGCACAGGAATAAATTTTAAGGAGAGAAAGAGAGAGAGGGAGAGAGGGAGATACATATATATAGATATAGCGATATATACATACATATATATATATACACATAATTTTTTCGCCCCCGCGCCCGCAAACCCTTAAGACATTAATGGCCATGAGCTCCTTCCTGATCAACTCCAACTACGTGGACCCCAAGTTCCCACCCTGCGAGGAATATTCCCACAGCGATTACCTTCCCAGTCACTCGCCGGAGTACTACGGCGGCCAGCGGCACCGCGGGGACGCGTTCCGCCAGCACGAAGCCGCCTACGAGCCGCGGGCCGCCTGCGAGGAGCGGCCGTTCCCGTCCTGCCGCGGCTCGGCCGCTCCGCCGTCCCCCCGCGCTCCCGGCCGCACCGAGCCGCGCTCCGCCAGCCCCGGCCCGCCCGCGGAGCCCGTGGTGTACCCCTGGATGCGGAAAGTCCATGTCAGCTCGGGTAAGTCGGGCCGAGCGCCTTCGCTTTCCGCCCGGAGTAGCACCTCCGAGTCTTGGAGGAATCTTCTTGTAAAAGGAGCGTTCGGCGGAGATTTACGAGCGCCCGTTTGCGGAGCGCTATAATTACATCCTCCATAAATTTTTATTGCTCTGCTTGGCCATGTGCCTTTGAAGTCTCTGTTACCATCCTCCTCCAGTTTCTTCTAGGCTACTTAGCTTTTTTTTTTTTTTAAGTTTTTTTTTCTCTCTCTTTTTTTCTTTTTTTTTTTTTTTTTACGGCTGTTCAATCTCCCTAAGTGAAGTTTTATGTTTTGGTAATTTGTATTTAAGTAGCGGATTGAGTAAAGTTTTACAATTTTCACCTCCCCTGCCCTCTTTTTTTTTTTTTTTTCCTCCCGTTTTTTTAACTCCTTTTTTTTTTCTCTTTTTTCCTCCTCCCTTTTTTCTTTCTCCTTTTTTCCCTCCCCCTTTTTAAACTCCTTTTTTTCCTCACTTTTCCCCCTCCCTTTCTTCCTCCCTTTTTTCTTCCTCCCTTTTTTCTTCCTCTATTTATTTCTCCCTCTTTCCCCTCTCTTTTTTTCCTCCCTTTCCCCCTCCCTTTTTCCCCCCTTTTTTTTTCTTCCCTTTTCCCCCCCCCCCCTTTTTTTCCCCTTTTCCCCCCCCTTTTTTTCTTTCTTTTTTCTTTTTTTTTTCTTTTTTTTTTTCTTTTTTTTTTTTTTTAGGGAGATATTTAACAAATAGCAGCTCCCGTTCTCGCCGGTTTCCCAGCGTTCAGGGGGAACTTTTGGGGACAATTCCGCTCTGCTCTCGCAGAGCTGCGAGTGCAAAAAAAGCGAATTTCCACACGTGGAGGATTCGGAAAACGCGTCAGGGAAAAACCTTCAGGCAGGAATCCACGTCCAGCCATGAGGTGGAGATTTCCACATCGCTTCTGGGGGGGGTTTAGAAAGTTTCCCTTTTTATTTTTATTTTTTAAAGCAAATCCCCCCTTCCAAAGAATGTGTGACACTTTATTTTTTTTATATTTTTGGTGATTTATTGAGGGGTGGAAAGAACCCATTGAAAGAACAGCTCGGTAATTCTGCTTTTCTTTTTTTTCCCCCTTCTTTTTTTCTCTGCTTTCCCCTTATGCTTTTCCTTTTTTTGTGTGTGTGTTCACCCCTCTTTTTTATTTTGTTGTGTTTTCTCTTCATTTTTTCCTTTTTTGTGTGTTTTCACATATTTTCCACTCTTTTTGTGTTTTCACATTTTTTTACCATTTTTTGGGTGTTTTCATGTATTTTTTCTTTTTTTTTCTTTTTTTTCTTTTTTCTTTTTTTTTTTTTTTTTTTTTTTCGCATTTTTTTTCCCTTTCTTTTATGTGCTTTCACATTTTCTCCCTCTTTTTTTTTTTGTGCTTTCCCATCTTTACCCCCCTCTTTTTTTTGTGTATGTGTTTTCACATTCCCCCCCATTTCTTTTTGTATTTCCACATATTCCTCCCCATTTTTTGTTGTGTTTTCACTTCTTTTCACCCCTTTTTTTTGTATTCCCACTTATCCCCCCTTTTTTGTGTGTATTTCCACATCTCCCCCTCATTTTCCCTATTTCCACGTATTCCCCCTTTTTTTTGTGTATTTCCACCTCTTTCCCCTCTATTTTTTTGTATTTTCACATATTTTTGTGGATTCCCACGTATCTCCCCCATATTTTGATATTTTCACATCTTTCCCCCCCTCTTTTTATATAAACCCACAAATCCCCCTCATTTTTAATACACTTCCCCCTTTTTTTTTTTACATTTTCACATCTTCCCCCCCTTTTTTATATATACCCACAAATTCCCCCCATTTTTAATATACTCCTCCCCCTTTTTTTTAACATTTTCACATCTTTCCCCCTCTTTTTTTTTTTTAACATTTTCACATCTTCTCCCCCTTTATTTTAAACATTTTCACATCTTTCCCCTCCCTTTTTTATGTACTCCTACAAATCCCCCCCATTTTTAATATACTTCTACCCCTTTTTTTTTAACATTTTCACATCTTCCCCCCCTTTTATTTAAACATTTTCACATCTTTCCCCCCCTTTTTTTATATATACCCACAAATTCCCCCCATTTTTAATATACTTTTCCCCCTTTATTTTAAACATTTTCACATCTTTCCCCCTCTTTTTTTTTTAACATTTTCACATCTTCTCTGCCTTTATTTTAAACATTTTCACATCTTTCCCCCCCTTTTTTATGTATTCCCACAAATCCCCCCCATTTTTAATATACTTCTACCCCTTTTTTTTTACATTTTCACATCTTTCCCCCCTTTATTTTAAACATTTTCACATCTTTCCCCTCCCTTTTTTATGTACTCCTACAAATCCCCCCCATTTTTAATATACTTCTACCCCTTTTTTTTTAACATTTTCACATCTTTCCCCCCCTTTTATTTTGTATTCCCACAACCCTCATCCCCATTTTTAAATACCCTCCCCCCCTTTATTTTTTTTACCATTTTCACACCTTTTCCCCCCTCTGTTTGTGTTTTCCCGCCCGTTTCCCCGTGTGCCGGCAGTGAACCCCAGTTTCTGCGGCGGGGAGCCGAAGCGGTCGCGCACGGCGTACACGCGGCAGCAGGTGCTGGAGCTGGAGAAGGAGTTCCACTACAACCGGTACCTGACGCGCCGGCGCCGCGTGGAGATCGCGCACGCGCTCGGCCTCAGCGAGCGCCAGATCAAGATCTGGTTCCAGAACCGCCGCATGAAGTGGAAAAAGGATCACAAGTTACCCAACACCAAGATCAGGTCCGGCTCCTCCTCCTCCTCCTCCTCCTCCTCCTCCTCCTCCTCCTCCTCCTCCTCCTCTTCCTCCTCCTCCTCCTCCTCCTCCTCCGGCTCCCTGCAGGCCCCACAAGGAGGATCCCAAACGCAGATCCTACAGGGAGGATCCCAAACGCAGATCCTACAGGGAGGATCCCAAATGCAGATCCCACAGGGAGGAGGATCCCGAAGGCAGATCCCACAAGGATGCCAAACTCACATCTCACAAGGATCCCAAAGGCAGATCCCTCAAGGATCCCAAACTCAAATCCCACAAGGAACATCCCAAACTCGATCCCATGGACCAGTCGGCGCCCTATAACCACCCCAATGGACGCGTGTGTGTGTTTGGGGTGTGAACTCGTGTGAGTGCAGAGAGGGAAACGGGATAATTTTAATTTTTGTCATATTTAATGATTATTTGAACTGCAGGGAAAGGCGGGGCTGCTCTTTGTTACCCAAAGCCAAGATCAGGTCAACTCCTCCTCTGGCTCCGTGCAGGTCCCACAAGGAGGATCCCAAAGTCATGTCCCACAAGGAGGAGGATCCCAAAGCAGATCTATGGGGAGAACAATCCCAAAGTCGCATCCCACACAGAGGAGGATCCCAGACACAGATCCCACAAGGAGGAGGATCCCAAAGCCAAATCCCACAGGGAGGAGGATCCCCAAGTCACATCCCACAAGGATCCCAAAGGCAGATCCCACAAGGATGCCAAAGTCACATCTCACAAGGATCCCAAACTCAAATCCCACAAGGAACATCCCAAAGTCGATCCCATGGGCCGGTCGGCGCCCTATAACCGCCCCGATGGACGCGTGTGTGTGAACTCGTGTGAGTGCAGAGAGGGAAATGGGATAATTTTAATTTTTGTCATATTTAATGATTATTTGAACCGCGGGCAAAGGTGGGGCTACCCAACGTCAAGATCAGGTCAACTCCTCCTCCGGCTCCCTGCAGGCCCCACAAGGAGGATCCCAAAGTCACATCCCACAAGGAGGAGGATCCCAAACGCAGATCCTACAGGGAGGAGGATCCCGAAGGCAGATCCCACAGGGATGCCAAAGTCACATCTCACAAGGATCCCAAACTCAAATCCCACAAGGAACATCCCAAAGTCGATCCCAAGGGCCTCTCGGCACCCTATAACCGCCCCGATGGACGCGTGTGCGTGTTTGGGTGTGAACTCGTGTGAGTGCAGAGAGGGAAATGAGATAATTTAAATTTTTGTCATATTTAATGATTATTTGAACCGCGGGGAAAGGCGGGGCTACCAAACGCCAAGATCAGGTCAACTCCTCCTAGAGCTCCCTGCAGGTCCCACAAGGAGGATCCCAAATGCAGATCCCACAGGGAGGAGGATCCCCAAGTCACATCCCACGAGGATCCCAAAGGCAGATCCCACAAGGATGCCAAAGTCACATCTCACAAGGATCCCAAACTCAAATCCCACAAGGAACAGCCCAAAGTCGATCCCAAGGGCCTCTCGGCGCCCTATAACCGCCCCGATGGACGCGTGTGCGTGTTTGGGGTGTGAACTCGTGTGAGTGCAGAGAGGGAAATGGGATAATTTTAATTTTTGTCATATTTAATGATTATTTGAACCGCGGGGAAAGGTGGGGCTACCCAACGCCAAGATCAGGTCAACTCCTCCTCCGGCTCCGTGCAGGCCCCACAAGGAGGATCCCACAGTCACATCCCACACAGAGGAGGATCCCAAACACAGATCCCACAAGGAGGAGGATCCCAAGGCCAAATCCCACAGGGAGGAGGATCCCAAGAGCAGATCTTACAAGGATCCCAAACTCAAATCCCACAAGGACAATCCCAAAGTCACATCCCACAAGGAGGAGTATCTCAAAGGCAGATCCCACAAGGATCCCAAACTCAAATCCCAGAAGGAACATCCCAAACTTGATCCCATGGGCCGGTTGGTGCCCTATAACCGCCCCGATGGACGCGTGTGCATGTTTGGGTGTGAACTCGTGTGAGTGCAGAGAGAGAAATGTGATAATTTAAATTTTTATTATTTTTAATGATTATTTGAACCACGGGCAAAGGCGGGGCTGCTCTTCGTTACCCAGTGCCAAGATCAGGTCAACTCCTCCTCCGGCTCCGTGCAGGTCCCACAGGGAGGATCCCAAAGTCACATCCCACAAGGAGGAGGATCCCAAAGCGGATCCTACAGGGAGGACGATCCCAAAGTCACATCCCACAAGGAGGAGGATCCCAAACGCAGATCCCACAAGGAGGAGGATCCCAAAGCCAAATCCCACAGGGAGGAGGATCCCAGACACAGATCCCACAAGGATCCCAAATGCAAATCCCACAAGAAGGAGGATCCCAAAGTCACATTCCACCAGGAGGAGGATCCCAAAGGCAGATCCCACAAGGATCCCAAAGGCAGATCCCACAAAGAGGAGGATCCCAAACTCAAATCCCACAAGGAGGATCCCAAACGCAAATCCCACAAGGAGGAGGATCCCAAATGCAAATACCACAAGGAGAAGGATCCCAATCCCAGATTCAACAAGGAGGATCCAAAACTCGAATCCCACAAGGAGGAGGATCCCAAACTCAGATCCCTCAGGGAGGATCCAAACCCAGAACCCACAACAAGGATCCCAAATGCAAATCCCACAAGAAGGAGGATCCCAAAGGCAGATCCCACAGGGAGGATCCCAAAGGCAGATCCTACAAGGAGGAGGAGGAGAATTCCAAAGGCAGATCCCTCAAGGAGGATCCCAAATGCGGATTCTACAGGGACGATCCCAAAAGCAGATCCCACAAGGATCCCAAACTCAAATCCCACAGGGATCCCAAACTCAGATCCCTCAAGGAGAATCCCAAACGCAGATCCCACAAGGAGGAGGATCCCAAACCCAGATCCCACAAAGATCCCAAACTCAAATCCCACAGGGAGGAGAATCCCAAAGACAGATCCCACAAGGATCCCAAGGACAGATCCCACAAGGAGGAGGATCCCACAGTCGATCCCAGGGACCCGCCGCCGCCCTATACCCGCCCCGATGGACGCGTGTGCGTGTTTGGGTGTGAACTCGTGCGCTTGCCGGGAGGGAAACGCGATAATTTCAATTTTTGTCATTTTTAACACTGATCTGAACCACGGGGAGAGATGCGCGCTGGGTATTTCTGACCAATAATTTGAATTTTCCTCATTTTTAACGCCAATTTTGACCAGGAGGTCAGACGGGGTGCTTGTTATTTCTGGCCAAAAATTCGAATTTTGATAATTTCTACGCTGATTTGAGTGGTGGGGACTGGTGAGGTGGTGTGGTGCTCATTATTTACAACCAATAATTTGAAATTTTATCATTTTTCGCCAATTTTAGCCATGGGGAAAGGCAGGTACTGGTTATTCCAACCAATAATTTGGATTTTGATCATTTTATGCCAATTTTAACCGCGAGGACAGGCGAGGGCTGGTTATTCCAACCAACAATTTGAATTTTGATCAGTTTTTTGCCAATTTTACCCACAAGTACAGATGAGGGCTGGATATTCCACCCAATAATTTGAATTTTGATCATTTTTCACCCATTTTAACCACGAGGACAGACGAGTGCTGGTTATTCCAACCAATAATTTGAATTTTGATCATTTTATGCCAACTTTAACCACTAGGACAGGCAAGTGTTGGTTATTCCACCCAATAATTTGAATTTAGATCGTTTTATGCCAATTTTAACCACGGGGACATATGAATTGTGCTTATTCCACCCAATAATTTGAACTTTGATCGTTTTTACACCCATTTTTGCGTCGGGGGACAGCGCTCAGCACAAAGCCGGGAAGAGGAGGCCGGGAAGGGAATTTTTTTGGGATGGGGAGGCCGGGAAGGGAATTTTTTTTGGGATTTGCCCGAGCCGGGTCCTTGTTTCATCCTTAATCACGCCAGCTCGCCCCATTTGTCATGTTTACTCTGGCGTACAAAGGACGGACCTTATGTCTGCCATTACCCGACAGCCGCGCGCGCTAATAAATGAGTTTCTTCCACACCAACCGCCTTTGCTCCACCACCCCCTTTTTTATTTATTTTAAATTTTTTTCTTCCTTTTTTCCTTATTTTCCTCCTTTTTCCCCTCCTTTTTTCCCCTCTTTTTCCTCCTCTTTCAAATTTTTTTTCAATTTTTTTTCTGATTTTTCTTTGTTTTTCTCAACTTATTTTCTTTTTTTCCTCTCATTTCCACCCCTTCTTTAAAATATTTTTTTTCTCCTATTTTTTCCTTATTTTTTTCTTTTTATTCCTTGTTTTTTGTCTCTTTTCCCCCCTTTTCTTCTGTTTTTTCATTTTCTTTACCAACTTTCTTCCCCTTCCTCTCTTTCCCCTTTCCCCCCTTTTTTCTTTGTTTATTGTATTTTTTCCACTATTTCCCCCCATTTTTTTCCCATTTTTAAATCAATTTTCTTCCCTCCTTCTCTTTCACCTCTTTTCCCTTTTCCCCCCCTTTTAAAAATACCTTTTCTCAATTTTTAAATTTTATTTTTCTTTGATTTTCTTTCTTTATTTTCCTTTTTTCTCTCTTTTTTCTCTCTTCCCCCCCTTTTTCCCCCTTTTTAAATCAATTTTCTCCCCTCTCCTCCTTCCCCCCTCTTTCTTCCCAACCACGAAGTCTCTGCCCCTCTGTCCCAAAGAGACCAAAGTGGAGAGACGAAAAAAATCCAAAAAACCACCAAAAACTCAACAAATAACCCCAAAATCTCCTCCGGGGACTTGGGATCTCTGCCATACCAAGGGGAAAAAATGGGAAAAAAATGAGAATTGTGTCAAAGAGGTGTTGGGGAAAGAAATGCAAAGAATGGTGAGGGATCAGACCTTTTATTTTGATTTTTTTTGTTTTAAACCCATCAGGTTCGTTGTGATGAGAGGGGGGTGGGGAGGGAGAGGGGAACTGGGGGGTCAGGGGAGGAACTGGGATGAACTGGGATGAACTGGGATGAACTGGGATGAACTGGGATGAACTGGGAGCGCTCCCCAAGCTCCTCCCTGCCCCGATTTGGGGCTGAAAATGTGAATTTTGGGCTGGTGGGGGGAGGGGTGACCCCGACCCCCCCTCCCCTTTCCTCCCTTTGTCCGGATTTACCTGGAAATTCCCAAAAAACCCCAAAACCACGAGTCAGAAATAAATTTTCCATCGCCAATCTGCCCCTGTGTGTTTTTTTCCGGGGGGGGGCCCAGGCTGGATTTGGGTTATTTAGCCAGAAAAATAAATATATTTCTTTAAAGCCGTGATTTAATCGGTTTATTTCGATTTTTAAATTATTTTTTTCCGGTTTTTTTATTGTTGTCAGCAGCCCCCTAATGAAAACAAAAGATGTTTGAGCAGCTTTAAGTAGTGCTAAGCCTCGGATATTATGATTTATTTGTTCAAAACCCACATTAATTCTCTTTTTTCCCAACCCCAGACGAACCAGGGGCGCTCATTAACGCTTTGCTGCTTTGGGTTTCTCCGGAGATCTTTTTGTATTTATTTATTTATTTATTTATTTTTTTTTTTTAAATCCCTCCTTCTCGGCGGTAATTAATGCATTAATGAGTCTAATTTTGGCACAGATGTTTCTGGGTGGTTTTTGATTTTTTTTGGTGTATTTTGATTTTCGAAAGGCGCCGCCTGCGATAGCTCATGGCCTGACAAGCAAATAGATAATCAAGAAGACAAATGGCTCCTTTTGTGAGCCGCAGCTCTCGTATTAATTTTCATTTTCTTTTCGCGGCCAGGAAAGGAGCGAGGAGGGGAAAAAAAAAAGAAAAAAATAAAAGAGAGAGAGAAAAAAAAAAGAGCAAAAAAAAAAAGAGAGTTAAAAAAAAAGTGGAAAAAAAAGTGGAAAAAAGAGGGGAAAAAAGAGGAAAAAATTAAAAATTTAAAAAAGAGAGAAAAAAAAAACAGGAAAAAATTAAAGAGAGAAAAAAGAGAAGAAAAACAGAGATAAAAAAAATTAAAAAATAAAAAAAAACAGGAAAAAGAGAGGGAAAAAAACGGAGAAAAAAGAAAAAAAAGAGGGGTAAAAAATATTTTAAAAGAAAAAGAAAAAAGAGAGGAAAAAAGAGGAAAAATGTTTTTAAAAAGAGAAAGAAAAATTTAAAAAAAGATTAAAAAAAAGAGAAGAAAAATAAAGAGAGAAAAAAGTAAAAAAAATTAAAAATAGAATAAAGAGAAAAAGAGAAAAAATAGAGGGGAAAAAGACAGAAAAAGGTAAAAAGAGGAAAAGCAAAAGAGAGGGAAAAGCAATATTAAAAAAGAAAAAAAAAAGAGAAAATAATGGGGCAGGAATGGGGAGAAAAAAGCAAATTATTGTCCTCGAGGGGGTGGGAACAGCTGAAGGGAGAATGTTCGCCGCTAAAATAATGGTGATGATGGCAATAAAAATATATTAAATGTAAATTTAAGTAGAAATGAATGTGTAAGTATAGGTGTAAATATAAAGTGTAATTACGAATATAAATATATAAAGGTGGAGATATAAAATATAGCTATAAGTGAATGTATGGATATAAATGTGTGTATAAAGAATAATAAAAATAGACATAAAAGTAAAAATATAAAAATAAAAAATAAAAGTAAAAATGAAAATGAAATATTAAAAAATAAAAGTAAAAGTAATAATAAAAATAAATATATATAGAAAAAATTAATAATAAAAAATTAAAATTAAAATTAAGGATAAAAATTTAAAATATAAAAAAATTAAAAATTAAAAATAAAATTTTAAAAAGTGAAGGGGTTTTGCTGGTTTATTTGATATTCACGGGATCCTCCAAAAACACCAAACAGGACCCAAATTTCGGTCCCGCTTCACCCCCAGACAAAGGCAGGGCTGGGAATGTTTGAAAACTCAGCCTCTCCTCGTGTGAATAAAATAAAATAAAATAAAATAAAATAAAATAAAATAAAATAAAATAAAATAAAATAAAATAAAATAAAATAAAATAAAATAAAATAAAATAAAATAAAATAAAATAAAATAAAATAAAATAAAATAAAATAAAATAAAATAAATAAAATAAAATAAAATAAAATAAAATCCCCCCTCCGCTTCAAACAAAGCCCTGCTGCGCGTTTATTTTGATTTTTCCCTTTTTAATACTTTAAAATAAATAATATTCCCGCGGTCACATGGTCCAGGCTCCGCACGGTGTGATGTAAAAAAAAAAAAAAAGTCGGATTTATGGCCGGTTTTTGTTTAATTCTCGCGGTTTTAGAGGTGGCGACAGCGCAACTCGCGGTTTCTATTTGAAATTTATTTATTTTCTCGGCCGGGGCTGTATTTTATTCTGACTTTTCTTTGCTCCTCGTTGCGTTTTCACTCAGCTCTTCCTCCCTTTGATCCGCTGCGCTTGGGCGCGGGGTGTGATTTTCGAGAGGAGGCTCCTAAGAATGGCCAAAAATGGGTGTTTAAAGCCAAAAAAAAGAAAAAAAAAACACCAAAAAAAGAGGGGAAAATAATTTAAAAAAGGAGACATATGCTGGCAGGAATGTGGGGTCTGTGGGGGCAAAGCCGAGCTGGGGCAGCGTGAATGGGGAGAAAAGGAGATTTCTATAGGACCGCAAAGTTCACAGCCATCAGGAGCGGACAGAAGGCGAGAAAAATGCGCGAATTATACAGAAAAAAATCATTAATCACTTCTTTTCTTGAAATACTTCTCCCTTTTCCCATTGTTATTCAACAGCGAATCTCCCGCTCGGCGTCTGGCGGCAAAAAAAGCACCCGGAGAACTGCGAGAAACCTGCAGGGGCGATGAGGAAAATCAGAATTAACAGGAATAATATTCCTAATGTGGCTAATAATAAATCCCCGAGCCCCAAAGGTGAAAAATTCTCTTTTTTTTTGGGCGGGGGAGGGGGGAGAAAAGCCAAATTCCCCCAGAGTTTGGAAGAA